ACCTCTCCTTACTCTCACTTTCTATCTTTACCTCTCTCTCTTCCTCTTTCTCTCTTTAGTTCTCTACCTTTTTATAAACTAAAATAATCTTTAAAATAGAATAAATTAAATGCTAGATGTTCCTTCTCATCAGCATTGCCAACCAGTTTTTCATTGAATTCACTCCATTTCACACATTATTCCTTGTACATCATCTGTTCATATCAGAGCTTCAATAGTAATTTCCTTGTTTGGAAATCATGAAAATCACAAACTCTTCTGAGGCAATTTGTGAAATTCTGGAATTCATTAAGCTGATGATCATTGAAAGCAAAGTTCACCATTGCTTAAACGTCCTTAAATACACTTATATAATTCCTCATATACCCCCAGGATATATATATTTTTAAATATTCAAAAAGGTTCAAATGAATCTTCTGTTCGAATACATAATTAATTCATTTTACTTTACTTTTCCAACAAAAAAAAAAACTTTAAAGCCTTTTTCACTTTTGCCACTCCTTTCCCTCTTTAGCCTACGTTTCAGCTTCAGCTGATTCTTAGAATATTTATTGTTCTCTCTCTCTCTCTCTCTCTCTCTCTCCTTCTCTCTCCCTCTTTGTTAGCAAGAAAGAAAAATTCTTTTTTTTTCTCAATGAATGATTCAAAAAAATCATTTTTTACGCTTTTTGATCATCTATTTCAATTATCTCCCAACTCACTTGTCAAAACCAACCGACCAATGCATATACAAAATGAAAAATGAGAAAGTGACATGTTAACGTGAGAATTTCACGTGAAGCCGTTACAGGCGTGCACTTTGTGTTTAGTCTCTCGTATTCTCAAGATCAAACGCTTCTTTGTTTTGAAGCAAAACAATGAAATCACAAGAGAAAAAACTAACAGGTCCTTTTAATTTAATTTGCCCAAAACGAGAATATGCCAATTATGAATTTTCCTTTTTTCTACTCACTGGTTGTCTTCTCCTCACTCAGATTCGAAAAAAAAGAGACAAAAAAAAAAGGAAAAAAGGCTAGAAAGAGAAAAAAAAAACAACTTTTTCGCTTTCTTTATCGTCGAAGAAAAACAACAGATAGACATAAGTGTTCTATCTTTTCATTTTTCTCTCTCAATCTCTCTCTCTCTCTCTCTCTCTCATTGCAATGTCATGCTTGTTGTTTTCTCTCTCTATATCTATAGCCACTCTCTATGACTTCTTTTGGTCTTGCCATTCTCTCTCTCGCCTCTCTACCTTTCTTTCTTGTCTTTGTTTCATTTTTTTTATTTTATTGTTATCTTCATAACAGCCAGAGAGAAGACGATACCTGTTGCTTCTACAAGTATACGACAAACCGTTGTGTTTGAAGCCGGAGGAAGCCAGACAGTATAGAAAACCAAAGAAACTGATCCATTCTCTTTGGGAATCAGTAATTTATCATTTTGTTTTGTCACTTACGTTGTTGGAGAAGTTTATGAAAGAAGAAAAGAATGAGATGCTAAAGAAGTCAAAGGAAGTAATAGGGGTGACGGTTGAAAAGCCTCAAACCTTTTCCATTTCTCTCTCAAACTGTTTCTCTCTCTCTCTTTCTCTTTCTCACTCCCACAATTCATTTTCATTCTTCTTCGAACACAAGTTATTCAGAACTTCTGATCAAGAAAATCGCTGAAAACCTCTACAGCATTCGCAAGAATTCATCCGTTTGTTCAGAAGATGATTTGAAATTTGCCTTTTCTCATTCAAAAAGGTGTAGTTACCATGGTTTCATTTCTCCTTTTCATATCTTCGTATCACCAATATCCAACCATTAATTATAACGAAATATGGGATTCATTGATTATCCTTTCACAACGTTTCTCAGTTTTTTTCGTCTGGAAAAGAGTCTGGAACGAACAGAAAAAAAACGAATGAAGTTTCATCAAAAAAATATTTTTTTTCGACGAACATTTGCATTGAGAGGGGGGGGACATGAGAGAGAGAAAGATAGAGAGAATGGCAAGAAGGAGAGAAACAAGCAAAGAGTCAGAAGTATAGATAGACAGAGGTGGAGTAATCTGTTTATCACGAGTTATTCAAAGTATCAAGCTTTAATAAACTGCTGAAACTTGAAAAAGTTTTTGCATCTCTTTCTCTCTCTCTCTCCTTGCTTGTCTTTATTACTCTGCCTGTCTATTTCTCTCTTCATTTATCACAATCTTTTTATCTCTCTCTGCTACATCTTTACTCTCAAAGTATAAATGGCATACCTTCTCTCTTGCACTGCCATAATCATTCGCAGTTCTCTCTGTTTCTCTTCATTACCCTGCTTGTACGTATCCTGCATTGCTCATTCCTGTTCTTTTTGCTTTTTTCATCAACTAATTTCATTAACAAATTACCACAAAAAATTATATTTTATTTGTCTTTTAAAAAAGATTTTCTTTTCCCTCCATCTCATCGTTTATTTGAGAAGAAGCTAGCATCAAACATGGCCATCATCTCTCTATCTCTCCCTCTCTCTATGTTTCTCTCTCTGTGTTTTTATTATATTACAAAGCGTTACAAATCCTCAGTAAGTCTAATCAAATAGTGGAAGAGTTGCTTGTTTGATTATAAAAAATGAAATTTTGTCATCTTTGATTGAAAGATCTTTCCTATTTTCTCTTCTAATTAAACCAGAAAAACATCGTGAAGATTTTCTGGTTTACTATCTATGACAGAGTGATTGCTTGATGATAGTGGAGAGATCAGTAGAACGAAGAAAGGCATTGCCACAAGGCCTTCACTTCTCTCATTTTCTGATTCTCTTTCTCTCTCTATTTCTCTCTATATGTCTATGCATCTCTTTCTCTCTCTCAAGATTTCTCTTTGAAATTATTTAATTCAAACAGTGTTAACGTTTTTTCCCCCATCTTCTCCTTCCTCATCTCCAATCTTTTATCTTTTTTTTTCTCAATTATATTTTGGTGATGAACATCGGTTTGACATCCATACCACATGAAGACGTCACATCATCGTCGCACCGTAGACGACCTTGTCAGAAATTTGAAGTCTTCACCATATCGTTTTCGTGTCTTCTTGTTCTCTAGAAGGCAGAATAAAAAATTCACAGTTTTATCTTAACTTTCCTGATATGACACAACACTCCTGTTTAGAGTTCGAAAAATTGTCGCCCGCATCGTCATTTGTTGAACTTTCAATTAGATTATATAAAATATATATTTTTCTATTCATTCTATCATCAAACTCTTTTTCATTTTTTGTCAAGTCAAACCTCTTCTCTAACATCTTCTAATAATTAGCTTCTCAATGTGATTTCCTGGCAATAATCCGTTGCCGGAGGATTACATTTACTTTTGTCATGAAGTCCAACAGATAAGCTTGTCAAACTTGACGACAATCGATTTCTCATATATTTCAGTTTTTCCTTTTTTACAGAATTTTATTTTGAAAATCTCAAAAAAAACTTTCTAGAAATTCTTGACAATATCGTCGTTTTCATTATATTCGTTCTCAAGGTTTCAATAGAATGTTTGATGCTTCAAGTGAGAACTGATGAACTCCTGCAGAACTAACTCCCTCCACGTATTCTCTCTCTCTCTCATTCTCTCTCTCCTTCTTCCTTCTGTCTTTTCCATAATTAATTACTGGGAATGTTCAATGAAACCGTCATTTACTAATATTTTTTCATTAAAAGTAAAAAAAAAGTTTATTTGCGGATAAAATAACCTGTTTTGTGATACTTCCTATAATCAAAGAAGAAACATTTGATGTTGTCATAAGTACACTCAAGTCGTTGTCTCCCCTTCTCGTTCTACCTCTCTATCAACTTAATCATTCTTATTTTAACTTACTTCTACTAGTACCACCTTACGCTTCCTTTCTTTTTTCTTTTTTTTGGACAAATATGCAATTGGCTTGACAATAGTTCCACCTGTCGGCTCATGAAAACCTGCTTAGAACATTCCATTTCATGACTGTTTATGTGCTCTTTACATACTCCATTACAAATCCTTTCTTACTAATTATCTCTTCTTTTTCACTTTTTATCTTCATATCTCTCACTCACTTTTCTATTTTCTCCTGTTAATCTTCACACCTCACACGGCTTTAGTACAGTGCTCTTTGATTCTTCCCCATGTTGTCCACAACATATCAAAGTCATGGCTGAACGACCAACGTTTTACAAGTTTCTGAACTCTATTATGGGGGAGTCTGTTCTGTCGTCTGCCACAACTAATTGTTTTCTTCTCTAAAGAGTTATTCTGACAACAGATCGATATCCCTCGTAATTTCTACAGTTATACTCTTTTTGTAGTCTCCTTTGGACCCTGTGAATCCTCTGCCTTTCTATATCCGTTCCTCTCCGTCTTTCACTCTTTGTTTCTTTCTCTTAATCCACACCAATATATGAATATAATGACAAAACAGTTTATCGAGAGGTATGTGTGGAAGAGTGAAAGAGAAGAGAAATTATCTAATTTTTTAAAATTGCCATTGCAACCTCCGATTGTTTCAATGCTGTCGTCTCATCTCTCTCTCACACCCTATCCATATCATGCCTATCTCTCTATTGTAGTGTTTTTTAAACAACGGAAAGTAAAATTTGCATCTTTAAAATGCTAAATTTGGGAATTTTTTTCCTTTTCCTCTCTTCCACCTTCTCTTTTTCATAAATAATTCTGAATATCTGTCTGTTTTGGAACACTCAATTGAATTTTGTGTGTTCGTTCCAAGTTCAGCTTTCACAACAGAAAAACTTTCCAAATAAGTTTACAACAAAACTTTCCAGCAGTTTCTGCAAAAAGTTTAAAATAATTTGCTGGAATGAGTCAAAGACCAGAATGTGGCCACTGAGAGGGAGAGAGAAGGAGAGTGAGAGAAAGTTCTTTGCTAACATCCCATATTATAACCCAAGAGCAGCCTTTATTCCATCTAATCATACATTTGCGTCGTTTTATATTCATTGTCTTCAATTTCGAGCAATTTTTTAGAACAAAATTAATATTTTCTTATATTCTTTTCGTTATAGCGGGTTGATGAAATGCCGGGTAACGAAGACTATGGCTGTTCACTCCAAGAACTGCGTCAACTCATGGAGTTGCGCAGTCATGAAGCACAAGAGAAAGTAATTATATATTTGAAATTTTTTTAATGAAAAAAACTTTTTTTCAAGTTAACAAGTCAATATGGAGGAGTTGAAGGATTGTGTGCAAAATTAAAAACAGATCCTGTTAACGGAATCCCCAATAATAACACTGAACTAGAGAATCGACGTCGTGTGTTTGGAAAAAATGAAATTCCACCAGCACCATCGAAGTCTTTCTGGAAATTGGCATGGGAAGCCATGCAGGTAATTTCATAGATTAAATGGCATTTGAAACAAAATAATATATTACAGGATATAACCTTAGTCATATTGCTCATAGCCGCAGTTTTCTCATTAGCCCTCTCGTTTTACAAACCTCCCGAAGGAACCGGTAATTACTTTTTATGTTTCATTTTGATTCTTCTCCCCTCTCTGATCATTCAACCATTGTTGTTTTCTAAATCCGATAGGTCACATAAGTGGCTGTCATCTGGAGTGGTCCAATCAAAACATTAAACTTGATGATTTCCTTTGTCATAAGGTTGAAAAAATAATAAATTTGTCTTCTTCTTAGGCCACGATGAGTCGGAATCAAAAAGTGGTTGGATCGAAGGAGTTGCCATTCTCGCTGCTGTCATCGTTGTTGTTCTTGTAACGGCTCTTAATGATTGGTCCAAAGAAAAGCAGTTCAGAGGTAAACATTTCTCTCTTTTTTTGTTGTTGTAAGGCAGCTAATACAAAAACTAGTTTGATGGTAGATGAGTACATGCTCGATTCTCTCGTTTATTCAAATTGAATAGTTTTGAAGAAGGATACATGTTGCAGGTCTTCAATCAAAAATCGAAACGGAACACAAGTTCTCTGTTATCAGAGGAGGTGAAGCTGTTGATATAGTTGTGAACGATTTGGTTGTAGGAGATGTAGCAAGAGTTAAATATGGTAAATATATTAAGCTTAACTCCGCTCATTGGTTATAACTTTCAGGAGATTTATTACCAACAGACGGTATTCTTATTCAATCCAATGATTTGAAGATTGATGAATCTTCCTTAACGGGAGAATCCGATTTGATAAAGAAAAGTCCTGAAGAAGATCCAGTTCTTCTCTCGGGTACTCATGCTATGGAAGGAAGTGGAAGGTGAGATCAAAACATAATTTATACACATAAGCATATATTATGTTGAAGGTTTATAATCACAGCTGTTGGTTTGAACAGTCAAACTGGTATTATCATGAGTCTTCTCGGAGCCACAAAAGAAGAGAAAGAAGATAAGAAGGAAGCCAAAGAGAATGGTTTGTTTCAAATATTATGAAAGAAGAAGTAACAAACAATCTCATGTTTATAATTTTATAGGAAATGGTGTTGTCATCTCAAATGGATTATCATCTGACAAAAAAGAAGATTTGGGAGCTGTCGAAGATATCCCTGTTGATGATAAAATCGGAAAATCTGTACTTCAAGCTAAACTCAGTAATTTGGCTATTCAAATTGGATACATTGGTACATAAATTCAATATATGAAAATGATATTCAATCTTTTCATTTTTTAGGATCAATTGTTGCTTCAGCTACAGTAATTATTCTCATCATCAGACATTGTATTGAGAAATATGCTATTGAAGGAAAATCATTTTCGGTAAATTCAACAAAAAAACCTTTTTGTTACACTCTACGCACATCTTATAGACATCTGATTTGGCTTATTTCGTTAATTTCATAATTATCGGAGTGACCGTATTGGTCATTGCTGTACCAGAAGGTCTACCATTGGCTATCACATTAGCATTGACATATTCTGTTAAGAAGGTGATTAAAGTTTAAAATTAGATTCCATATTATCTAATTTGCATAAACATAATAGAAACTGATTACGTAGCATATGCGACGTGAAAACTTCACGTGGCATGACGATGACGTGGTGCTTCCACGCAAAATCATTGTCACGTGAAATGAAATTTTTAAATTTATTTCATTTAAGAGAATAAAGAGAGCGGTTGATAAATCTCTTTATATAAATATATATAAAAATATATAATATATTAAATTATTATAGATGATGAAAGATAATAACCTTGTAAGACATTTGGATGCTTGCGAGACAATGGGAAATGCCACTGCCATTTGTTCTGATAAAACTGGAACTCTAACTACGAACAGAATGACATGTGTACAGCAATATATTAACAGTAATAATTCATTCATATGCGCATAATATATATGGAAAAAATGTGTTTCAGAAAATTTCTATAAGGGAACTCCACCATCATATGATATGATTGATGAAGAGACTAGAGAATTATTAATTAATGGCATTAGTATTAACAGTGGTTATAGTTCTCAGGTTATTTTACCCAAAAATGCAGGAGAGCAACGTGAACAGGTAAACATCATTATTCTATAATGAACATTCTTTATTTATAATTTATGTTTTAGCTTGGAAACAAAACAGAATGTGCTCTGTTAGGATTTGTTGTTGATGTAGGAAAGAGCTATGATGATATTCGTCGTGCTTATCCAGAAGAAAACCTTTTCAAGGTAATTGATTATAGATGTTCATTGTTATTTTTGTTTTTTCTTCTTAGGTTTACACATTCAATTCATCACGTAAATCTATGATGACTGTTATTGAACTTCCAACTGGCGGCTACCGTATCTATGCTAAGGGAGCTTCTGAAATTATTCTTAGCAGGTAGAAAAAGGGAGAAGCAAGGATGCTCATCATATTTTTTTGAAGATGTTCTTACGCCCTTGGCAAGGCCGGAGCTCTTGAAAGCTTTGGAGAAACGGAAATCACTGATTTAACTCGTAATGTTATTGAACCAATGGCTTCTGATGGACTTCGAACTATCGGCTTAGCTTACAAAGACTTAGTTCCAAAAGGACAGAAAACGAAGGATTGTCAAGTAATACAAACACAACATATTAATCAAAACTATATGCTTTGTTTGTTTTCAGGTTGAATATGAAGGAGCTATTGACTGGGAAGATGAAGAAACAATCCGAAATGGAATGACCTTAATTGCAATTATGGGAATTCAAGATCCTGTCCGTCCTGAAGTTCCAGCTGCCATTGAGAAATGCCAAAAAGCCGGAATAACAGTTAGAATGGTTACCGGAGATAACATCAACACAGCTCGTTCAATTGCAACTGCTTGTGGAATCTTGAAGCCGGGAGGAGACTTCCTTGCTCTTGAAGGAAAAGAATTCAATGCCAGGCAAATAAACACCACAATTTCAAAGTTATCTTTACTTTTTCAGAATTCGTGATGAGAAGGGTAATGTTTCTCAAGCCAAGCTGGATGCCATTTGGCCAAAACTTCGAGTTTTGGCACGTGCACAGCCATCGGACAAATATGTTCTTGTAAAAGGAATAATTGATAGTAAAAATACGAAGAACAGGTTCGCCTAATTTCATAGAACAAGAAATGAGAGTTTGAATAAAATTATAGAGAAGTAGTAGCTGTAACTGGTGACGGAACCAATGATGCTCCAGCCTTGAAGAAGGCTGACGTTGGTTTTGCTATGGGTATTGCTGGAACTGATGTTGCAAAGGAGGCATCTGATATTATCTTGACTGACGATAATTTCACATCAATTGTAAAGGTAATTTCGAGAAGCTTACAATGATGATATGTTGAGCTCATCTGTCTATTTCAAGGCTGTGATGTGGGGAAGAAATGTATATGACTCTATTGCCAAGTTCTTACAATTCCAACTTACTGTGAACGTAGTAGCCGTCACCATTGCATTCATTGGAGCTTGTGCTATTAGCGATTCACCACTTAAGGTATGCGATATCATTCGATGTCATTCTTCCAACCACTATATTCAGGCTGTTCAAATGCTTTGGGTAAATCTTATTATGGACACTTTAGCTTCGTTAGCTTTAGCAACAGAAATGCCTACAGAAGAGTTATTAGAAAGGTAGCATACAGCTGTATCATTAATACCTGCTAACCGGTTCTCCTTTCAGAAAACCATATGGACGTACCAAGTCTTTGATTTCAAGAACTATGGTAAAGAATATTGTTGGACATGCTGTCTATCAATTGGCCATTCTCTTCGGAATCATGTTCTGGGGTTTGGAATAAGCATACGTTTAAGCTTAACTGAAAAGATTATTCAGGTGATAAACTCATTCCTGATACCGTATCTGGACGGGGAGCTGAACTTGGAGCTCCACCATCCCAACACTTCACAATTATCTTTAATGCTTTCGTATTAATGACACTCGTCAATGAGATCAATGCTCGTAAGATTCATGGAGAGCGTAACGTGTTCAAGGTAAAGAGCAATAACAGATGATCAATCTAATATCTTTCTGTTCTAGGGACTCTTCTCTAATCCAATCTTTTGTATTATCTGGATTGTCACTTTAATTTCTCAAGTTTTAATTGTTCAATATGGAGGACATTGGTTTTCGACAGCTCCACTTACACCAGTCCAATGGATTGTCTGTATTGTTTGTGGATTATTTGAATTACTCTGGGGACAGGTCAGTATCATTTACATTCTCATATTAATTATTCAATATCATATATTTGTATGTTACATTCTATATTTTCCCTCATATTTTTGGTTAGAGCTTCTCCTCCCTATACCTATCAGATTCTTTTCTTACATGAGATATAATTTGACAGCAAAACGAAAAAAACTAGATAAACGCACAATTTGCATGAAATTACACAGATTTCGACAACTTCCTTGTAATACTGAGCATGTTTGAGCATCTGTAGCAAAACAGTTTGATTATATTTGTTAATTAGATGAGAATGTTTGAAGCAAGTGTTAAGATTGAAAAGAAATGTTTGATTAGAAAGCTTTTACACAAAGCCGTAGTTCAGATTATCACCTCCATTCCATCATCTGTCTTACCAAAATCCTTCCGATTTGGTAAAGGTGAAGTTCAACCAACATCTATTCATCTTACTGGAGATTATGATTTGCCAAGTTCCACATCTACATTACCAAAGCAAGACCCATTGGCTAATGAAAAGAGGCCTGGTCAGATGCTTTGGTTACTTGGCTTAACCCGTCTTCAAACTCAGGTAAGTGACTATGATCATACTTTTCGGATTTTACTTCCCTGTTTTTCCCTTTGTGGTCTTAACGATAGAGCAGCTTGGATTGTTTAACGCAAAAGAGAGAAAACAAAACAAATTTTTTTGAATGTTTAGACAGTGTGGGGTGTGTGCTTAACAAATTACGTTCTTCATTAATATTTAATTCATAACTTGATGTGTTTTTTTTTCTGATTCGGGGGTTGACAGCATCTCATTTCGTGAAAAACCGTTTGATTTGATTAAAATAACCATATTGAGCTTGTATTCGTTGAATTGTTGCTTTTCAAACGTTCAACCTTGCACATCCACGGATTGTTTCTTTCAAATCTCACAACTTGATTTGCATTGCGTGTGCGCGTGTGTGATTAGATTTCAATAGATTAGTTCACCAAACTTACTCATTGACGTCGTTCAACCTGGAGGTTTCGTCGTCTTCGTCTTTTCCGATACTCCCATTAGCACTTACCGTAGTTGGCCACTTTCCTTTTTTTCAGATGCGAGTTGTGAAAGCCTTCCAATCCAGTCACGACAACAGCCATCCCAACTCGTTGACATCATCAACAGCAGATCGCCTGAGGGCCAGTTATCGTCGTTTGAAGATAGCTAAGGAGCTAGAGCAGCAGAAGAGTTCGTACATACTTTCTCACCTGGATAAAACAGTTTTTCAAAACATTTTGCAAAAAAAACAGCGTCAAGAGTGAAAAAAATACAAAAAACTCACCGTAGTTCTTTAGCATGAATACGCGATTCGCACAGTTTGAAACTTTCCTCACTCATCACAAAAGAGTCTTTCATATATTTTTCTTGTGATTTTCAAAAGCTTGAAAAAGAAAGAGCATGTCTCACAGTGCTTGCAGCGTAGATGATTCTGCCTGAGATGAGAAGAAAAGGTCGAACGAGCTTCTCTTCTCATCTGAGTGCTATAGCTGTAGAGTTAAAAATTGAACTTTAAACGATTTCCAGAAGCACAAATTCGATATACAGTCCCTGAATAATATACATCAAGATATGTTATTCGCCTAAATCCTTCATCTTTATAATTGAGAGGAAATGCATTTTATCTTTTATTACGGTAATTCCATAATTGGAATCAAAAATGCTTTGTTAAAAGTAACATTTGTGATGTTTTAAAGCTTGATCTCAACTCAAAACTAAACTCAATGACATATTTTTTGTGTTGTTTGTGTCTTGTGGCTTTATAATAATCACATCTGAATCTTGTCGTTCGTATGTGTCCTGTTACTGTCTACGCTTACAGCTTTCACTATCCAAAAACCATAGGGAAGAAGAAAACAGAAAAAGTTTTCTATCTGCCAATTATTTTCATTTTTCGAGAGACACACAAAAAAAAAAGAAAAAAAAAATTTTTTTTTCAACGACAATTCTGAATTCCAACTTTCGTTTACGAGAACGTCTATTCGTCGTCGTTTTGCAACTCTCAACCATCAATTAACTATTTCACTGTAAAACAGAGAACAAAAAAAAGAAAAAACGAAATTTTCCTGATAAACAAACACTTTTTTCGCTTTATAACTGTCTGTGTGATGTCTATATAAGATACAATTTAATTAATTGTACAATATATGCTAATTAATATTCATATACTATAACTTATTCTGAATTTTTAGGGTCTGGTAGCTTACGCGCCCGTGGACAGGTACATCATGAGGAATCAAAGAAGAATCCAACCGGAATGAAATTCGTTTAAAGGCCCTTCATCTATTCCTTATCTATCTATCTATCACACACTCTCTCTCTCTCTTATGTATTATATATTCATATATATATTCTTATACATATATATGTATATCTAATGTATTTTTTTGTTTTTTTTTAAAAAAACTCAAAAACAAACTTCACCACCATCACCACCCATATTGCTCCAGTCAAAAGAACCTTTTTCACTTCATTAGCCGCCATTATCGAAATTTTCATTGGTTTTTAGTGAAATTCGTCATTGCCTCTGCTTGTGTGCCTTCTCCTTTTCTTTTTTGGTCGGCTTCTTCTCCTATGTGCTTCAATAACTGTCTTAAAGACTTCTCATTATCTTTTTTGTTATTGTTATGTTCTTTGAGGAACTTGTCATATACTTGAGATACCTTACTTCATTTGCTCATGACAGATTTCTATAAGAAAAGAAAAAGAAAACCCCTCTCTCTCCCTCTCTCCCTCTCTCTCTCTCTATCTATCTTTTGTACATAACGAACATTCCCTATTCACTTCAACAGTCTAGCATACCGTTCAGAATCCATTTTTAAAATATTCTATGAATTTATGTCTTTCCATACCTATAGAATCATAATCACAGATTCGCTTCTCTCCCTCTTCTTGCTATCCTATCCTCAATATCTTTAAGTACATTCAAGTTTTTCTTACTTTCTTTATATATTAGAAATATATAATTAGATAAACAACGTACTTATTTGTACGGATTTGAACGGTATAAGCTGTTTTGTGGTCTTCTTTTTCTTCTCTTTCATGGTATATTCTCTTCACTTTACCATCAAGAGAAAATCTGTTTTGTTTTAAAACTCAATTCATCTTCTTCTTCTACTTTCCTCTTCTTCTTCTTCTTCTTTTCTGCTTTTTCTCTTGATAAGTCTTCTTTTCTGTTTCCCATTGGCTCAACCTGCTTACTAGTACATTCATGGAGTTTTATTTAACATCTTTTTCTTCCAATATTCCTTCTCAATGTAGATTGAAAAGCTAATATATAAATATATATACATATATAAGCCTATATATATATTATATGAATTTGTTAGGCATTACTGACTAACTTGTTCACTAAAATTATCTAAATAAGATAAAAATTTATATTTTATAATTGTTTCTTATAGATATGAGTGTAGAGTGTATAGTATATGTGTGTGTAGATAGATATGTGTGTGTGTGTGGTTGTCCATTATTTCAAGCAACATCAATTCAGACTCATTAATAGCTTTTCATCATCATATGCCTTCATCGTCACAAAAGATGGTCAAGATAAAGAAAGAAAAATTTGTATTTTACAGCTTGATTGCTTTAATTGCCTTGAGAAAGAGAAAAAAAAATTAAATTACAGGAACTTTCATCAAGAAGAAATTTGAATAAATTACTTAAATGGACATACTTTGAATATAAAATTTGTTATAAAAATAAATGAAATTAAAATGAATGAAGCCAACCGCTCACAATGTCTGTTACTTGCTTAAATGACTTTTACACGTAAACTTCCACGTAAGTGCGGGTGAGTCAGTTTTCAACTTTCCACGTGAATGAAAACGTTTACATGAAAATACACATGATATACATAATCTTCCAGAGGAACAAACTTTGTTACAAGGAAAAACGTTTTTCAGAAAAAATAGCAAAAAAAAAATTTTTTTTACCTCATTTCGAGCCCACAAGCCTACAAGCCAGCTAGGCAAGCTTTCACCTTCAAACATTTTTAGTTTGAAAAAGCATGAGCTCTCTTTCTGCTTATTTTTCATGAAACTGCATTGTGATCTACTATATATGTTTTCCTGAACAAAATAAAATTATAGAAATAATAAAGAAAAACCTAAAAATAAGAAAAATTCTAAAATAGATAGATGGGAATATTCATCTTCGCTTTCTCCAACTCATACTCTTGCCTATGAGAAGAGATATCTTTTACTTTTTTTTCCCATCACATCCTATCCTCCCTTACTCTACCTCTTAGTTACCAACAGCTTTCCTTCTTCTCTCTCTCTCTCTCTTGTCCTCTCTCTCTCTTTGATATGTTTCACTGTTTTTCTTTTTTTTTGTCACTCTAAAATTAAGAAGTAATAAATAAAAAAAAATGAAGAAGAAGAACAAAAAGATGCAGCATTGATGATTCGCACACGTTATTCATGCTTAACTTCTTTTATTTTATTTTTTTTGACGAAAAATTATGATCGTTCAACGTTTTTTTTCAATTCTCAACTACCCGCATGCCAAAATATTAAATTGTCTTTGATGGCAAGAGAGGGAGAGAGAGAAAGAGAGACTTTTTTTTTTTTCGAAAAAATTAAAGTTTGTTTTGAATGCTTTTATGGATACTTCGATATGTATACGTCTATCTGTCTGTCTGTCTGTCTGTGTCTGTGTGCATGGGTGTGCAATTCTGTTCAAAATAGGTTTTTTTTTTATAAATTATGACTTAGGTTTGAAGAAATTTATGCAAAAAAAATCAGACAGCTTGTCGAAGCTTAGAGGAGAGCTGAAAACTAATTTTCTGTCTTTTGAAGTCTTTTTCGTCATTTTTTCTGTTGTTCTAATGAGAAGAGATGAGCTTATTTAGATAATTACCGGAAGTTAATGAGCTTAATGACATTGCTGAAGTTCTTCAGAAGATTTGATAGAACAACTTTGACTCCACCCACTTCATCTTTTTAGTAATTATGACTATTATGAATTATTTTGATTATTCTTTGAACTCTTACAATCAGTTGTTAGCTGAAGAGCATTTTCTTCATATGTGCCTTTCATTTCATTCACTCATTATAATCATTCATACTACTACGTATGCATCTGACGTCATCAAATATATATTTTGTGAAAAGTTTATGAATGTCTGAAACTTCAGAATACATGAAGACGATAGCAACATGTAACCAAATGACGACGATTGAATCGAAACGAATGATCGTTGAAGCTGTTCGCAACTCCTGATTATCTGAAACTCTCTTCTCTCTCTATTTTTTTTCAAATAAAAAATTGAAGAGAATGAAGAGAAGGGAAATTCACATCATTTCCCAGATGGTACTTTACCCAATTAATCAAATTTTTTTTTAAAGAAAATATGTTTGAGTTCGTATTCTTATACTTGACTAATTCACTTTTTGAACAAAAAGTGTATTTTACAAGTACTTTATGAAGCTTCCAAAAGTTTCTTCTTCTTTAGTGCTTTTAACTAAACAACCCTCAAGGCAAATGTGGGCTTCTTCCCCAAATGAATCTGATCCCTTTATGTTCTTGAAGAAAACGAAAAAACAGAATGTTTGAGAGGAGAGATGATCCTGAGCAGTGTATTCACTGTCTTCTACCAGAGAACATCGTTCGCTTCAATTTTCTCTTCTTTTCTTTTCCTAACTCAGCAACGCTAAACAGGTATTGCCGAAGATAGAGTGATAGATTGAAACAGAAAGAAAAGAAAGAGAGAAAGGGAGAGAGTGAGAGATAGTAAGTGAGTGAGAGGAGAGTAGATTGTCCTTTGTTTTCTTCTAAGCTGTGAAATATCGTTTATGCTTAGCTGTATGTTAAGCAAAATATTATTAAATGACTGACGGATATTTTGTAATTATTTTAAGACTGCTCACTCACCACGCCTTTCTTCATTCCTCTTTCTCTCTCTGTCCTTTCTTTTTTTTTCTCATTTCAAAACTCCCTCCCACTTTTTACTCTCTTTTTTTTTTTGTTCAGAAAGACCTTTGGAAGTTCTTTTACCGATTATTTTGGTTATTCTTCTCAACACTATGCAGCTCGGTTATTGCTTCTTCCACTAACCGTCTTCAGCTGCAACTCCTAACCTCGCCCATCTAACCGTCATCATTTTCATTTTCCTTCTTCCTTTTCTCATTCACTCATATGTCTATGAATGGATTTGTTCATTTTTCAATCTTCAACTGCTATAAGTCAATTTTTCCACCAATTAATTCTTTTCAAATCACTCTCCTAACCATTTTTCTTCAATAGTCTTTTAGTTCCTTGATTCATTTGGCTATTTCTTTCTCTTTTACGTTTAACCCTTAACCCTCAAACTCACTTTTCTTTTCTATTTTTTCTCTCCCAGTGGCTCTCTCCAAGGCTTCAAACAACAAAAAATTCAGAAAAATCTACCAAATTTGGCAGACTTTCTTCGAATTGCGGCCATCTGTCTGAGATATTCTTTGATATCACTCCTGACGTATATCTTACCTTTTGAAATTTTTAAATTATTTTAAAATTAAATTTACTTTCGTTAAATCAAATTAAAATAAGATGAAAAACATGATTTCTCGTTAATTCACAAATAATCTCATTTCATGCACGACCGCTCAACCACATCCAAATCTTCAAAAGGAATTTTTAGGAAAAAACTCATTTTGAAGATTTGTAAGCTGATGAACGGTTGTTCTTTTTTCTTTCTTTTTATTTTTTTTTTGCTACTATCTCTCTTTCTCTGGCAGTTTCTCCTACATGTGCGATTGTTCACAGCTTGTTTGGACATTGAAGCATCGGAGCCACGAAATGTTTTGAAATACTTTTTATATTAAAAGCAATTCATAAAAATGTACTGAAAGATAGAAACTTATGATATAACTGCATGCACTTTCGGCGTTTCTTCTCCCCTTTCTCTCTCTTCATCTCCCCCCTTTACTTCTCTCTCTCTTCGTAATTATAACTTTATAAAGCAATCATATTATATTAAAACTAAAATATGATGGAAAGAAGTTGTTAATTGAATTCGAATAATATCATTTTTCTCTTTTTCTTTATCCATTTCAATAAATACATCACATACATAACTTGGACATAGTTATTCTGGCTGCTTTCAATTCTCTTCTTCTTTTTTTCTTTTTTTTTTGCTTTTCCTTCTCTTCTCTTCCCCATCCATCCTTCAGTCAACTTAACCCAACTACAGGATCCTCCCCTCTTTCCATTCATATTATTCACATTTATCTTCTCCCCCCCCCTTTCTCTTTCTCTCTCTATCTCTCCATCTTTTTTTCTCTTTCTCTC